GAAGAGAGGGATGGAGGTACTCCCCAAAAAGGCAGGGATGTGGGAATGGCTGCCTGGAGTAAATTACAAGAAACATGGGAAGCCACCCCCCTTTGGGGAAATACTAAAAGGTGTAGAGCAAGTTAATGGGGAGGTGGACCCGCTAAAAAGTAGATTCAGCTGAATAATAAACAGTGCTATTTGAGATACACGTAAGAAATCAGGGGGGTTGAACAAGGAATTTGATTTGGAAAACTGAGATAAGGAAAACAGGTATAATTATATATAATTTGGAAAATAGGTATAAGGAATGATTGAGAGGACTCACAGATAGTAAGAAACAGGGAACCTTAAAATGTATGGCTGACCAGGAGATGGTACTTGATTCTGTTGGTTTTGGACAATGAACTGACAAAAATTGTCTACCTTCCTCCACTCTTCAGCACTATCCTGTGCTGAGCATCAACATCAGAGTTACAAACTGGCAAAAATTAAAGCATTTCAGTTGTATTTTGAGATTAAAAAAATAAAGTTTTGATTACATGTTTAATTAGATAAAAATAAGTCTGTTCTAAATTAAAAAAGTCCCTTGAACTGTTTTCTGTAAATGAAGCTTCATCACATCAGAGCTTCTGTGAGCTTCAGAATGCAGAAATCAGTAGCAGTTGTAAAAAGCTGAGTTTAGGGTCTATGCCCCAGTTTTTGCGTACTCGTAAGAATCACAGGCTTATTTTCCAGCTGTAAGTTGGCACTGCACCACCAAAGTTAGCTGCTTTGTTCTAGTTTGTTTTCTAAGTGACTGAAACCAATGTATTTTGTGTTTTAATGAATGCATGTTTCTTGTAAACTAGAAAATACAGGAATGTGGTGATAATTCTTTTAAAATATTCAGAGATAATTCTAGTGAGGATGTTACATTGGCTTAGCTTCAGCACCAGGCAGATCTGCAGTGACTCCTTGTGTTTAGCACTTATGCATATATGCATAGCACCTATTATGATGTTTACATTAAAACTATGTTAAGTTTTAGCCTAATATGCCTATTTTAGAGCAGCTGAGTGTTCAAAGTAATCCATTTTAAGATCACCATTTTCATCATGAAACAGAATCTTTTTGCTTTGGATGCAGCATCACTTTAATAAGTCTGACAATACAAGTAAGCCTGACTTTGTAATTATTTGATATAATTCAGATGCAAATGAGGAGCTCACATTCTGGCAGCCATGCCTTTGTTCTCATTCTCAGTTCACTGGATTTCATCAACATACAGTGTAGTCCTTTTCATGGTCATTTTGGGAGGGGATAATTGAGTTCCCTTACCCAGCCTGTTTTTACTATAGATGCACAGGGCCAAAGCAATTCTTTGTGGGAAAGCTTGTTGTCAGCGGAAGTTGCAGGTATTCCTCTGCCTTGTGCCAGCAGTGATTTCGGTCCTTTGAGTTTTATTAAATACTGAATGCTAATGTCTTAATTGCCGAAGTAGTTGAAGGCACTGGTAATGAGGTGTGGAATCTCTACATGCAAGTTGTCACCTAAATCCCATTCCATGATAAGAGTAATTAAAAGATGCCTCAGTTGGCTTCCAGTGTGAAATGACATGGATTTATGTTTTCTTCCAAGTAAACAAGAGTATCCTTTTTTTAATTCATAAATGACACTGCTTGCTCAGTGCTTCAGTAAACACAGAGAAGCCAAGGAATAAATGGGAAGAAGGCAATGCTAGGATTGATCTTACCAGGTGTGTTTAATGCTAATTGGCAGGACAATATGTGCATATTCATAGTACTGCTTTTGTGGAGGATTATCTTGGATTGTCAGGTTGGCGTTTTCACAACTGTTTCATTTACTTTGGACCAGAAGTCAGGGACCTGACTAGAAAGCAGCTCACCTGGAAGGTTTCAGGAGATATGACTGGAACAGAATCCTGGTTCTCTTCAAAACTGTGATGGAAGACTAAAAGCTAAAATGATTTGGACTGGTAACATGAAAAGTTATAATGGAAAATAAACATATTTTCATTAATTATTGCAAACCAGAATTTTTATTTTAGTAGTACTGTTGTCCCTCCTGGCTTGATTTACCAGAGCAAGTTGGAATCATAGAACCATAGAATAGTTAGGGTTGGAAAGGACCTTGAGATCATCTAGTTCCAACACCCCTGCCACGGGCAGGGACACCTCATACTAAACCATGCCACCCAAGGCTCTGTCCAACCTGGCCTTGAACATCACCAGGGATGGAGCATTCACAACTTCCCTGAGCAAGCCATTCCAGTGCCTCACCACCATTACAGTAAAGAATTTCTTCCTCATATCCAGTCTAAACTTCCCCTGTTTTAAGTTTTAACCCGTTACCCCTTGTCCTATCACTACAGTCCCTAATGAAGAGTCCCTCACAGCATCCTTGTAGGCCCCCTTCAGATACTGGAAGGATGTTATGAAGTTGTTTGCTATTCTTCTTGCCCTAAGTATTCTGTGTCAAATGCAGTAAACATTGTCATCAGTAAATATTTAGGATTCTGAATCTGTTTTCTGCTGTCTGCCTGTTGCTGATCATTGAAAACAAAAATAAATTTAATATTCTCATGCAAGCCGAGTTCAGTATACATCTCGTTAGCAGGGCTTTCGTTTGAGTATTCATTGTGTGTGATGGGAATGAAAATGAGGGTGGTATGTACCCCACTCTTTGTCCAGTTTGGATGTAGTGGATTTATGCAAGCATGTAAAAAAACTTTCTCACCATCTTTGAACTGGACACTGTCCAGGTTCGGGGGGGGGGGGGGGGGGGAGGAATGTTTTATGAGGTGTTCTGGAGAGGTTTCTAGGGGTCACTTGTCTGCGGCTGTACAGAACCTCAGAAAATGATACTGTGCTTATGTCTTTGTGGGTTGTGATATTGAGGCAAACAGGGCTGTACCTGAGCAATTCTTTACTTATACTGAAATGGTGAAACTGTGCCACATACTGTAGTGATGTCACCAAAGTCATCAGATTGTCCTTTGAAGTTGCACATACAGCTTTTGTGAATTCAGTATTTGGCTGTTTCAGATGTTGTCAGGTTACAAAGGGCAACTGGAAGGAAAAGAAAATGCTGGCTTTAGGTCACCTCTTGTTTTGCTGGTTTCAGGATACCTTAAGAGACAGCTTTGAGAAGTTGGGTTGAAACCTGTTTTGTCTTAAGCTGGTTCAAAATCAGGGTGCTCCAACGAGCTAATACCCAGTCTGCCACCTTTGTTTTAAAGCATCAGGGTTTTTACTTTTTGCCCACACCTGGGAATTATATATGCCTCTTAAAGGCATTTTCTCACACTTGCTCGTTTTTATTTTAAACTGTGTTACGTCAGTAGGAGACTGTGATGACTCCATTACTGTAAGCATCAAGTGAAAATCATTTTCCAGTCTTGTAATTATCCTCTTACGAAAAGCCTAATGAAACAGTTTGTTATAGGTTGGCTGTGACCGCAGCAAAAACCTGGTGGATATTTGTGGAGAGAAAAATCTGGAGGCTTTTGTCTGTGATGCACTGTTGGTGCCAATGCGCAGTGGTTCTTGTGACGCCTGCATCTCGATTGCTGTAATCCACCATTTCTCAACAGCGGTAAGTCACTCCTCTCTGTGCTCCGTTGTACTGCTGTATGGCTGTGCGCATCTACCAGTTCTACTAAAAACTGCTGGTTTGGGCTGATGAAAGCAAAAGGGAGGAACAAAATGAGGAGAAATCAAAGGTTTGCATTTGGTATAAGCAGTTGTCAGAGCAGAGTTACACTGCTGTGCTGCGCTGCTGCTTCTTAAGACTTCACATTCTTCTTTTGCTTGGCAGATGCCCTTTGATCTAGGTGTTTGTGTTTTATTTTCATCTGCTCACAATTAATGTCACTAGAGAAGGGGGCTCTGCTTTGACAATCAGAGGTATGTTCTTCCCAGCTCAGATTTTAAGCAGATCTCATATGTGTTTTTTTTTTCCTCTGCCTTCATTGCCCATCTTCAAACAAATGGGACAGTGCTCACTAGTCTGCTATATCTCTGGGCTGTGTAAGCTTCTCCTGGCAGGAGCTGTTCCATTGTAACAAGCTTCTAGACTATGGAGTTCTAGCCTTGTGTTTAGGAAGATGGCCTGGCTTGCTCCTCATGATGGATTATGCTATGAATTAAAATGTACAGTGGAAAAAAGTTCCTCTAATTTTTATTATATCTTGGGGAGGACAGTAAGGAGAAGTTGCTGCCATTCTGTTCTGTCTTTTACATACTAGCTTCATACTTATGCTTTTCCTTTGTAGGAGAGGAGACTGGCTACTATCCGTGAACTAGCCCGGCTTCTGAGACCTGGTGGAACAGCACTCATTTACGTCTGGGCAATGGAACAAGAATACAAAAACCAGAAGTCTAAATACCTTAAGGAAAAGAATGGTAGTAAAGACAAAGAGGATGAAATTAACACTGGCAGGGCCCAGAGACCACTCAGTGATCAGCTCCCTGATAGCAGCAGTCAAGACTCAGTGTGTTCTGGCCGACTCCTTAGTGACCTGAAGGACAAAGGCCATGATGCAAAGCCCATAGCAGACTCCGCACTGCCCATTCACACTAATCGAACCTCCTTTCACTCTCAGGATTTGCTGGTTCCCTGGCACCTGAAAGGTGGCTCAAAAAAGAAAGGGGAAAGCATGGATACAGGGTTGTTTCCAGTTGGCTCCAAGGAATCACAAGAACTCAGCCCTGTTTTCCACCGCTATTACCATGTGTTCTGTGAAGGAGAACTGGAAGCAGTGTGCAGATCCCTGGACTGTGTGAGGGTTCAAAGGAGTTACTATGATCAGGGAAACTGGTGTGTGGTTCTAGAAAAGTTGTAGCCTGTGGTGTTTCTTCCACTCTATGTGGTGTTTTGTTTGGTTTTTACCATGTAAAAGGTATTTTTAATGCAGGCTGCAGCTATTACCTCTTTTAAAATAGCAGAATAAAGATTGTTTATTGACTTAATTACAGTAACTGGTACTATGTGCATGTTAAATAATGGCCGAACTCAGGTACCTCCTCTGCAGAGTATTTATTTTACTTACGTGAATTACAGTGAAGAGGATTAAGTGGGAAAATACCTGCTGTGGAAATCAATAAGGCCAGGGTTGAGCTTCTGAAAGACAGAGGGCCTGCCTTTCTCTTCTTTTGCTCCAGTTGAATGAACGAATGGCATGTGAAGCAGTTCAGCTGAAGAGTCAAAACGCTGCCTGAAGTTATATCCTGCCTGTTTTGGTGGGGGTCACAGCTCTCTTTCAGTTTGGAATTTACTCTTTTGGTTGTGGTAGTAGTGATTTCCACAAGGGGAACAGGAAAGTTGTTGGGGACACCAGAGCCCTTTTTCTCTTCCTTGACCTTGAAGCACCCACAACTCATGCTGTCACTCCCCAGATTTCTCTAGCTCTTCACTGTAGTGTTGATAGCTCCTTTGAGGTGTGAGGCTGCCCAGCTGAAACACCCTGACCAGCTCTGCTGAACACCTGCTCTCCTGTGAGTACAGGGCTCTCTGTGCCTGTAGCACCAGAGCTCATGGGATGCCAGGGGTGTCAGCACAGATGTCCCTGGAGAAAAACGGAAAAGATTAAAGTGAAGGCAATGTTGATGCAAATTTTCTGCAGGGTAGTGTCAACCCTGGAATGTCGGCAGTGGAGCAAGTGGTATTTATTGTACTTCAGAAGAACAAAGAGCTGGAGTAGAGGGGAACTGATGCTGGGCTGGTTGACTCATAGTGGCCATTTCTGCCACTGCCTGCAATGACCAGCACAATTTAACACAGCTCCTGTGCTATCAAAGGAGTGTGCCCCCTTCAATGGACTTCCAGAATCAAAGTATAATGGACTGGCTTTGGTGCCTCTGGAACCCAGCACTGCTGGGCTATGCCCTCATTGCCTTTTTCATTGATAATTGCCCATAGTTACAGCAATATCTGTGGTATAGGCAGGTCACTGCTGCTGTAACTTATGGCATCTAAACAAGTCCCCATCCTGAATCATGTGGGGACTTGGAGGACAGCTGAATGCACTTGGCCTTCTGCCTGCCTCAGACTTGCAGGTTGGAGGCAGCTGTGCTGGCACATGGCTCCCAGTCACCATTCCTATTTCACCCCGTCCCAGGCAGCCCAGATGGATTTCAGCAGGTCCTGGTTCTGGAAGGAGGTTCTGGTATGGAGAACACCGGCTTTGGGCAATGTTGATGTGTGGGTTGAATTTGCGATATGTAACTGAACCAAAAGGGGTTTTCCTTGCATTCTTAAGAGCTGTGAGCAAGGGACTGGTCCAGGAGTGTGTCAGCTCTTCAGAGACATTAGGAGAATTTGAAAGAACTCTGACATTCTCCAAGGCCTGGAAATGTTATGAACTATTTCTTTGATTGAAGTCAAAGGATGCTCAGAGAGGAATCAAGTGGTGAAGCAGAAAATTACACGGGAGGACAGAAGGTAGACGTTAACAAAATCTATTGCAGAAGTTTATTGAGGACCTCATTACAACACTGAATTACCTGCCACCACAGCTGCCCTCTGCAGTACTCATCCCTTTTACCTCCTGGAAGTGTAATGAGCTGAAACTCTTTAAGGTCAACAATTGGATTTAAATGTTACAGGTTTCACACTGTGGTGGTTTTTGTCATAATTATGTTCCTTTTTGGCCTTACTTAAATAACAAATGTGCTTAAATGGTTATTCACTTGCAATATAGAAGATAAAGGGAAAGCAGAGTTCTGTGTGCCATTTCCTGTGCTATGAATGCCAGTGCCTCTCCTGTGCCAGTTTTCCTTGTGTCCCCATCATCCCCAAAGTGCCTTAGTGCACCCAGGATGGGGAGGTGGGAATTTTTGCTCTGGTCCAAATATGACCCATGGTTTAGTGCTGGACACATGCAGGCAAACATCTGATGGCATGCCAGAGGTGGCTCTTTGGAGGTCACTGCCTCTAAATCCCAGCCTCCTATTCCAGGGACCACTACGCCACTGTACTTGACCCTCCATCAGACAGATGCATTGAATTGAACTGCCCTGACAAAACAAGTGCTTCAGGGCATTTGTGGGCTTAAAGCCAGGTATAAACCAATGCAATTTGTTGTCCTGGGGGCAGGCAAAAAATTAAACCTACAAAGCACTGAGGGCTTCTCTTAACTTCATAGAGGTCCTTCAGGCTGACGCTCTGGTGCAGCGTTGCCAGTGACAAAACTCCTGAGACCTCAGAGGGGCTGGATTTCCCTGAAAGTGCTCAAGTTCAGCTTAGCAGGGAGAGGCTTAGGACAGCAGATGGCGAGGGACAAAACAATGTGTTGCTTTGTTGAGTGAGAGCCTCAAAAAGCTGTGTGGAGACCACAGGCTCTCTTCAGAAAGCTTGGAGGACTGGTCTTGGAAGAGTGAGCAAAGATGAACTCTTGTACTGCTCCTCAAGGCTGTATGAAGTCACCATAGAGGAGAACGCAGTAGGAAAGGCAATATTCCCTGTTCTGGGAAGTCTCCAACAGTTTTAATATGATGGAAGAATTCTTGATAGATTTATATGTCAGTCCTAGATCAAAGCATCAGAATCTACTTAAGAACCTATTCCTGGTGAAGCTTCCAAGTGATCATTCCAAGTCTTTACCGAGCAACAGAAGTCTCAAGTTTGATCCTTGCCTGGGTTTTTTTTTTTTTCCTATTTAGTGTTTGTTTTTTTTTGTTTGGGTTTTGTTTTTTTTTTTTTTTCCCCAGAACTGTTTCTCTATTTTTAGTGATTTTTTTTGAGATCTTTATGTGCACAACATCTGTGATGAAACATTTGTGTGTGGTTTTAGTGAAGTTCTGCACATGGAAAAAAGTAATATCCATGTGCAAAAAACAATACAAAAAGCTTTAAACTTTCATTTTAAGTAAATTCTTTGTTTCATAGAACAGTTAGGGTTGGAAAGGACCTTAAGATCATCTAGTTCCAACCCCCCTGCCATGGGCAGGGACACCTCACACTAAACCATGTCGCCAAAGGCTCTGTCCAACCTGGCTGTGAACATCACCAGGGATGGAGCATTCACAGCTTCCTTGGGTAACCCATTCCAGTGCCTCAACCACCTCACAGTAAAGAACTTCTTCCTTGTATCCAACCTGAACTTCCCGTTTTAGTTTGATCCCATTACCCCTTGTCCTTGTCCTATATCTACAGGTTATCAAACATAAAAATAAAAAGGCAGTACAGAAAGATCCCATCCCAAGTACTGTCCCTTAAGGCAAGCCAAGCTTCATCCTCTGGACTGGCTGGTTAGTTTGTTTTTTCCCATTTTATGTGAATCTGGGAGGGGTCTCAATGTGCAGCCTGCAATTTTCCCATGTTACTGGGGTCCGTATTTCTGCAAATTCCAAAATGGATTGGGTTAACTCACCTGCCTTGTCTTCTGTATGCTTTAATAGTACATACTATCTTGCCTCCTTACTTCTGCCCTTTGCAGTGATGCAGTGAGTAGCTACTGCCTATCCCACAGCTGGATGACTCCTTGCTCCCCTCGTATGTACCCGTTTCCTTCTGCCTTATTTTGTACATTTTCTGTGGCATGTGCTCTTCGTGTTTGTGTAGTGCGAGTGCAGCTGGCTGCTCCTCTCTGCTTGCATTTCACACACGGTTTGGTTCCTCAGGCGTGTTCCTCACTGGCGAAGGCAGACTGAGATGTGTCTTCTCTTAAGCCACAGATCTCTCTCTCAGCTATGCTGAAAACTCCATTTGAGATGTCTGCATGGGGAAAAATTCCATGAGACAGGTGGTTTGTAGGAGGAAAGAGGTCTGAGACAGATGAGACTGCCCAAGCTCAAGGTTCTTCAATGGATCCATGCAGATATGTACTGAGGGTCCAGATAGCAGGAGGTGGTATCTGACCCCCTCCCAAGCTTTGCTTTGCCTAATCTCACCATATTTTCTACAAGTATATTGGCATGTTTATAATAAGTTTTTTAAGAAGTGACAGCTGAATTATAAACCATCAAGATAGAGAATTCACACATTGCTGCATTAGCAAACAGCATTCCAGTTTCTTTCTTCTGGAAAAGCTATTGCATGGTAGGATGCAGGATGGTATGTATAGCAGGATGAAGACGTAGCAAGATGTGCAGTTCAGAAGAATCTGCCAGGTATTCAGCCTTTAATTCTGCAGACCATCAGCCTGCTTTTAGCAGAGAAAGCAATTAATCTGTACAGGAGAAGCAGAATTTAGGTCAAGGTCTTTTATCCCTATTTATGGTCTCAGTGGTTTGAGAAGTACAGGAACAAACTGTCTAGAGCTGAGCAATTCATCCTCATCTTGGAGACATTGCATACCTATTTAGAGGGGCAGTATTTTAGTGAGGGTTTGACAAACAGATCGGTAGACTGATGCCAATGCACAGAGAAGCCAGTGGTACTTCATGTTGAAAGTAATGGATCTCTTGGGAAGAGTGACACTATTTATACTGCACCTGCATAATGTGTCCAAACCGGGCCTGGCTACTCATACAGGGTGCTCATCTGCAGCCTGAACAGAGCAAGGTGTCTCACATCTGTTCATGCTATGACTGGTTCATGATTTGATCAAGGTATCTCTGAGCCTCCAGGAGCTGAAAAAGCAGAGAGATTGTAAGAATATGTTATACAGAAGAACTTGGTGAATAGAAACTATGGCATGCTATCAGTAGAGCATGACGGCAGAGGGTGGAGACTAACAGTGATTGGTTAAATGGCATGATCCCAGTGGTAACAATTAAAGTAAATGTCTGTCAGAAATACTGAATATAGGTAAGAAAAACAGCATTTAGTCTGAGTGAAAGGAAGCTGCTGGTGTGTGTACAGGATGAAGAGAACCTCTGAAAGTCAGCTGTATAGGTAAATCTTTCCTTAGCAGAGCTCAGACATACGCTATATAAATGGCAATAAGCATGTCTGGGGAGCTGTGTGCCAGAAATTAATGTCATGCAGCTGTCACTGCATACAGAAAATGTTCTGATTTGTACAAAGTGTTCCCCTGATGGACGTGGAGCTGTTGGAGCAAGTCCAGAGGAAGCCACAAAGATGATCAGAGATTGGAGCATTTCTGCTATGAAGACAGGTTGAGAGAGATGGGCTTGTTTGGCCTGGAGAAGAGGTGGCTTCTGTACTTAAAGGGGCAGACAAGATCTGGAGAGGGACTTTTTACAAAGGCATGTAGTGACAGGACAAGGGGGATGGATTTAAACTGACAGAGGGAAGATTTACATTAGATATGAGGAAGAAATTCTTCCCTGTGAGAGTGGTGAGACACTAGCACAAGATGCCCAGAGAAGCTGTGGCTGCCCCATCCCTGGCAGTGTTCAAGGCCAGGTTGGACGGGGCTTGGAGCAACCTGGTCTAGTGAAAGGTGTCCCTGCCCATGGCAGGGGGCTAGAACTAGATGAGCTTTAGAGTCCCTTCCAACCCAAACCATTCTCTGATGGTAATCCATCCCAAGCATTATGAGAGATTTAAAGTAATAATATTTCCGTATGTTACAAGATTTTCAGATTTAACAGAATCTGGATGAGTTTCAGTCTCAGAATTCCAGTTCAGATATGTTATGCCTGTAAATATCACAGAAAAAATTTCCATTTGCAAAGAAAAGAGTAAAGATTTGTCTAGAAATACTAAAGAAGATTAATAGTTACTGTCTCCAGTGTGCTTTGTTTTGTGCATACTTTTTGCTGCTGCAGTTGAGGATTTCTTGTCACTATCACTTTCTGTGTGTCACTATAGTTTTCTATAATTTATTGGGGAGAAAAGAGGGAAAGACATTTCATTCATCATTGCAAATCTCTTTCATGTGTGCTAATGTGCTTTATATGAAGTGATTACACTGATGACAGCAGCATTTGGACCCTAATGTATTATGCAAATAACTTGCCCTGCATTAACTGATGTGTGTCCTCCTGGGGCAGAACTGGAATTGAATGGCTTTGTCCAAACTGTTCTGAAAGTGCACACCTGACATCTCACGTGTCCACAAATGAATGATGTTCCTTCTCTCGCTTGCCTCCTCACCAGATACTTGCTACAGAGATGCCTGTTGAATGCAGACAGCTTCTTCCAGTGCCTAATACTGCTCTCATTGACAAACCAGATACAGATTTCTAGACTAAGACATATCATCTAACTTGAAAAGTTATTGATGTTGAAGCCCAGGTCAGCAGCAAAATATTCAGTACATCTCCTATCAGACAGTTGCAAAATTAAGACTTATTCTTAGCCAAGGTTTTGAAGCCTCATCTCCACTGACTTTCATTTTACCTTTGAGAATGTAATCTGTTCTTGTTTTGAAATCTTGTCCCCCCCTTGCTCCTGTGAAGCTTTTCCTCCCTGAGCTTCCTGCATTTCTAATCACTTTGTGTACATCCTTGAGTGAGCCTGCCTTCCTGCTTGGCCTGCTCCCCTCCTTTTCCATCCCCTTCCCCACCTTTTTATCCCTCTTTCCCTTTTTGTCTCCTTTTTCCCTTCCCTCCTCCCAGTATACTCCATAAGGTCTTCCATTGTTTCTCTCTTCTTAACTTGATGTAGTCTCATCCACAAACGCAAAACTAATTCTCATTGGTATGCAGACAAGCTGCAGTCTTCTAACACAACAATCAATGATACCAATGTATTTATTCTTAGTTATGTCTTTGTCTGACATTCCTACTGAAATCTCAATTGAAAGGGGAACTACCGAACCAAAGCGTAAGACAGTAGAATAATTTAGTGTGAAATATATATTTTTGTAAATGATTTTGTGCTCTTCATGTGATATCTTGTTCAGAATTTGGAACAAAATTGACATTGTGATTCTGAAGCCTAGACAGAGTTTAGACATTATTAACATTAAAAACAGCTCAGAGTCTGTTGCTGAGCCATCCTTTCTCCTCAGCTCGTTCATCTTTGATGCCTTGTGCACAGCAGAAGATGGAGAGGTACGTTTCTCACCACACTGAACTGCTTACACATCAGACCTTAAGTTAGACTTCTTATACTCTTAGATGAGTTCAAAGTATAAACTTTCAGCCAAGGAACTGCTACAGCATTCATCTCAGGGAGACACAGTCTTTACAGTATGCTGCAGTTCTCGTCAGTGATCATTCAAGTTGCAATCTGACAACAACTAAAGCTTTGTTAGAACAATTACAGTGAATCCTGCACTCCTGCTATTGGAAGGCAAATCTTGCCTTCAGTTTTCCATTTTGAAAGCTCCTCAGCTTTTCACACTGCCTTATTCTTCTAGTTAAAGATGGCAATTATGAGAAATAGGGGTTGTTCATTCTTTTTTTTTTTTGTCCTTGTCTCTTGCTTAGTTTCCAGAAGTGATTTGCACAGTGCATAGTCTTGGTGTGTTCTTTTGGTCTCTCTAAGCCTAGCAACGCAGAACTGCTATTTTTCTTTTTTTTCCAAATCAATCTTCTGTGCACAACATCCTTTTCTGAGGCCTTGTTTGTGTGTGCTGTCCATCTTTGCACCTTCATGATTGCTTCCTCTCTCTGGCCTCATGCCCTCTAAACTCACCTGCATCGTATTTCCTGACATACCAACACTGAAATAATCCCTTGATTCACAAGTAATGCCATGCCTAAGTTCCTTGAAAATCCTAGCACTTTGTATTTCCCATTCAAATAGCCTCTTCAGATTATTTGCTCCTCCCTGCAGGACATTATATCTGTGCAGTCTTTTGCATACCTGCATCTTTTTACTTCTAACCATCTCCTTTTATAGAACTTCTTTAATCAAGCACTGGCTTTTAAAAGGATATTGGCCATCCTGGGAAGGGCTCTGTGTGAAGGAATTATGTGAGATGTGAACCCTGGGTCCTTGAAGGACAGGCCATCTTATCACCAGGTCTGCACTCCTCTGGGCGGTGGATTACTCACAAGCCTCAATACTGTCCAAATACTGCTCACTTTTTGGATGAGCCTTTGAACCCTCTCTCTGTCTTAAGTATCCACAGAGGAGCAAGCATGACCAAAGACCTGACTTCCACAGAACATAAAGGAATTACTCTATGAATTTAACAACTGAGCTTTAAGTCTACACAGATTTTCTAGGATCAGTTCTTGGTTCCTGAAAAATAAGTTCTTTTTATGTATCTCAGGCTGGGAAATTTTGACATAAAGCCCTTTAGTAAATAGCCTGACTGGTAACTAACCTTATGCTGTTTTTAATTTAGCAGAAAAGCTTGTTTCTAGCATGATCCTTTTCTTGAAGGGGTCTTGCCCTTCAAGAAAGTATAATTTATTTGAGGAATGCTCCCTATCTCATCTTTTTATTGCTACTCTGATGATTTTTGCTCAGGAAATTCACTTCACATCTCACTTTCCTTATTCTGCATCCCATATTCTGAGGAAGGATCAGAAGATATTTTATTTGCAGCTCATCTCACCACACCACCAGAATGAGAGGATATATGTCACCTGAGCCAAATGTCTGGCTCCCTGTCTTCCTTCATATTGCTGCCTCTCAAATCTTGAAGTTAAATTACTGCAAAGACAGTGGAAACTAGTATCCATATTCAGAACACAGGAAGTATTTTTGAGTCCTCCAACCAGTCTGGTATTGTTTTTAATTAACAAGAAATGAATTAGACTCTCCTCCAGTATCAGCATTCTGTGCTCTGGCCTTTGTGAACTGGGATTTGCAGAGAGCTGCACACAGAGCAGTAAAAGGCATCTGGCTCTGGTAGGTGGTCTGGTTTAAGACCTCTGGCACTGGCAAGAGAGAGCTGTCGCCTGCAAGAATCCTGCCCCTGGGCTAGACTTGGTGTCACATGTACCAGAGGAAAACCGTCATAATATTTCGTGTTCTGCTTACTCACAAAGTAATATGATCTCCTTCTGGTCTAGATTAATTTAAGCCTCAGACAAACAACGTTTCTAAGGGAGTCAGAGCATCACATTGTCTGTATTCAATTAAAATTAAATGGAAAAAGACTGAAACGCATACTAAGATATTCCTAGCCCATATCACCTTATTCTGCATTGCAAACATGTTCAGTGAAAGCAGTGATTTAGGACGCCATTCATTAAAAGCGAACCTGGCCTCGCATGAATGGTTCTTATGTCAGTGAATAGGAGGCATATTTTTTGAGCATGGGGTTGAGTTTTGTTTCTTGGTCTTACAGAAAATCTCTCTAATTCTTCTTTCTGAGGCAGCGCTGTTAACAATGCACTTAAAAAAAAGCATGTTTATTTATTGTGCACATTTCTCAGGCTGTATGTGGCAAAGATGTAAATTAGAAGCTGATCTGCAATGAAACACATTTGCACCAATCCCTTTTAATGAATCAGTGTTGATTATGAAGATTTATCTTATTTGTATGTTTTGAGTTAGAGGAATTACTGTGATTAGTCTCTTTCTGTTGCTATCTTGCAGGTTAAATAAACATAATTCTGCAGTCTATGGCACTGCTCCTGTTTGCTTGCATTTGTGTTGCAAAACCTGAAAGACATGGAGTCAAGCTTGCAGGCCACAGCTGTGCTATTATACTTCACCTGTGGAGTCAAACGGGGACTGTTGCAGCAGCTTCCTTTAGTTTGCTGGGTGCTGCCTATGTGAGCGTGCATTGGACTGAGCAACAGCAGGAGACAAGGGCAAAAGACAGCCCCAAGGTCTCTGGAGCAGCCAAAGGCTGTGGTTTCTCTGTACAGTGTCTGTAATTTCATCTTAAGGTATTGCTGCTCTTGTAAATAATGGACTGATACAACTACCTGTGGGACTAGGCTACAGCGTGCTTCTGGAAGTGACCTACCTTTAAAAAGCAAAACTATGCTTTAATCTCACCAAAAGCAAACACTGCAAACATTAAAACCAAAAGCAACATACTGCACTACATTGAAGCTCTGCCCAAGACTGTTTATTACTGCATTCATCTGATGCATAAGGACTGACAAAGCCCCAGAGTTTTAATTTTTCCAGTCAGGATCTGAGTCAGTATTTATGTCTCATTTTGAAAACAGCTGATTTGAAACTCCCTGACACGTGCACCTCTGGACCTCCCAGGTTGAGCAGGAACACATTTCCCTCAAAGAAATGATTTCTAAAATGGTGTGTTACCAGAATCATAGAATACTTAGGGTTGGAAAGGACCTTAAGATCATCAAGTTCCAATCCCCCTGCCATGGACAGGGACACCTCACACTAGACCATGTCACCCAAGACTCCACCCAGCCTTCCCTTGAACACTGCCAGAGATGGAGCATTCACAACTTCCTTGGGCAACCCATTCCAGAGCCTCACCAACCTCACAGTAAAGAACTCTTCCTTACATCTATCGGGCAAATCAAGGACAGGATGGGTGTTATCCCTGCTGTCAGCTTCCTATCTGATGAAAGTCTTTGGTTTTGACTTCTCAAAGGAAACACAGAGCATGTAAAAGCCCCACAAGAAATGAACTGAATGAGTTGTCATTTCACATGTGGAACAGCCTCCTCACAAAACATTTATTAGTAGTATTTGTCACTGAAAATTGAGAGTCTCTTTAGTACAGTTCTGAAGCTGAAGTGGAGAGAAGGAAAATGGATGTTTCTAACCCCCATACCCCTGGCCTGCTGAACTACAGCTGAAGAGAGCACTCACTTTTAGAGTAGCTGAGCAAGTTAACAAAATAACCCTCTTAGGGGCAGACAACACATGACTTGCTATTGAACATGGAAAAACGGGTGAATCATTCTTCGATCCAGCACTCTCATAATTTGTTTTCATTGCAAGCTGAACTCTCTCTTCCAAGGCAGGCTGTCAGGATCCTCAATGTCATGGGGGCTTTTTATTGCTGCCAGGGCACTCTTTATGACAGACAGCAGAAAGCTGGTTTTTTTTTCAGCTCAGGTACTCACTGCACAATTCAGGCATGACCAACTAATAACCCAGATATTGTCACTGCATTGATTTTTTGAGTAAGGTGTTCTACCATTTTATGGCACTAACTTCAGACACAATGTTTTTTACTAAGGCTGCCGCAAGTGGGGTCCCTGGTGATCAATACTGGGCCCCATGCTGCTCAACATCTTTGTAAGTGATCTGGATGATGAGACTGAAAGCAGCCTCACCAAGTCTGCTGATGACACCAAACTGGGTGGTAAGGTGGACATGTCAGAAGGGTGAGACATCTTATAAAGACATTGATAGAGGCTGGTCAAGTGTATTTGGTTACAGAGTGCTGAAGGCAAGCAGTGAAGGTTAGCAGCAGGTTTGTAACACAGGTCAGTTGGAGAGTCACCAGCTTCTTTCAGAGGAAGTGTAAAATCTGCCATTAAATAGGAAACCATAACTGACTCTGCAAGGTCAGTGCCTCCCTGCTGGAGTTCAGCAGAGATCAGTGTCTCTGAAGCATGGCTGTTTTATTAGTATGTTTAATGTTGGCACTGACAATGAGATAACTGAACAGAGGTGCCCAGCTGACCATTAAAATTGGTATACCAAGGACTTGTTCTTAGGCTCACTGGAGATTTCTGAGCATGTGAGGAACTCTCATACATAGTAAGATTTTGAACGGAATAAGACTAAACTTTCAGATCTGCCTGCTTCATCTGAGAAAATCCTCCTCTTGGAGGAGGAGAGGAAATAGTATTAAATTCTGTCACCCTTTCCCTACTTGCTGACTTCAAAATCAAAGTCAGGGCTCAAAACCCCCAACAGCAGATGATCATGTTTATAAAATAGCATTCTGGGTTTTACTGTTCTTCATTTTTTGAGATTCTACAGTGTACCTGCATTATGGTTTATCTCCTAAAACCAGGAGTACTGGAAATGTGCTTTTAAATGAAAATTTACAGTACTGCCTTATTAGAGATGTGGAAGGTTACAAATATTAAGAATAACACCAAATGCTGCATATAGCTAAGGACAGCATAGCATTAGTCAGTCCTACTGGAATGTCTTTTATATCTGTTTGCTTTGTAAATGGCTCCCCAAAGGGGCTTCACATGCTGCTTCTCCAACTGGTGACTACGAAGCTCCATCAGTTATCATGCTCTACCTAGTGGTGATCTACAGCAGGTTTTTCTTGAGATGATAACTGTCATAGCATAAATTGATCAAAAATGCAAATGCAATTTACATATTTAATACCGCCATGGAAATGATGATCAAATTACCATTATCCCTTTGCAAACACACTGTCGTTGTTTGCATACTGTCCATGCAAACAGCTAACAAATTACCCAAGCACTTGCTAGACCTTTACGGGAATAATTTCTTGCCAACTGTGAACACATTTGGTGTCAGACAGATTAATAATGCTCTGATCTAATCCCAAAGAAACCATGTCTCAGATAAACATTTGCTTCACCCGAGATACAGCAGCTTTGTCAAAAACACTGTTAGCCAACTGCAACTTACAAGTGCTTAAAGGTGACTTTGAATTCCCCTCCTCCCCGCCCCGGGCACATCCCCGCAGATGCGTAGGGTACTAGGGTACACGGTACCTGCTGTGACCTTAACCTGCGAGGCCGTGATACCCTCCGCAAGCTACCTTTGGTACTGAAGCTGTGATGGAAGTTGGGGAAACTGTGCCATGGGACCGACAGCGCTGGAGCCGGCCACTGCCGAAGCCTGCATGGGCAATGGCTCCGCCGCCTCAGCCGCTGCCGCCCCGCCGTTGTCCGGAACGCCGTTTACGACAGTTTTGCGGCTTCGCTGTACGGCGGGGTTGCTGCACGGCGGTTGGTTTCCGGTGTGGAGCAGCGATGGCGTCCGGGTGTGAGAGCGAGCAGAGCCCGGCGGCGCACAGGGAGCAGCGGGCAAAGGTGGGGGCACGGCACGACCCTTCCCCGGGTGCCACCTCCCCCAGGCCGGGGATGGGGCGGTCTCGGCTTGCGCAGGCCGCTGCCTTCAGCCCGCATCGGCAGCTGGCGGAGGGGACGCCCTGGGCAGAGCCCCTTCTGCCTCACCGGAGCTGGGCTGCGATACCGCGGGCGGCAGAGAGCAACGGGAATTTAGTTTTGAGTTAACCCAAGTTAATGTGTTTTGCCACTTGTAGTGATACTGATCCGCGTGGTGTTTTACTTACTGTGTGTTTCTGTGCTTACACCTTTGGAAAGAGCCAGGGTCGATCTTCCTTACACCCTCTCTTCAGATATTTGTATATATATTGAGGACACCATCCCCACTGCCCAGCCTTCTCTGCTGTAGGCTGAACAGCCCCAGCTCTCAGTCTTTCCTTAAACGAGGCATAAAAGGTAAATTGTCCTCCTTGTCGTCCAGGTCTGTCTTTTCTAAGGAGTCAGCATCCCTCCATTACAGCTCTTCAGTCATGGAGTAGTAGTAACTTGGAACAGAACTGGGACAGCTGGGTTTTGTGGAGCGGAATGTTGCTTGGTTATATGTTGCTGTAGAGTTAGACAAGAATTGGGAGGCCCTCTCTGAGAAGTGCTTTGTTGGTAGAGTTGTGGTGACTTGGAGACTTGTGCTAACCCTGGTGCATTGTATTTAAAATCTGACTATATGCCCTGTTTGGTACTCATAGGTAAAATGAATGATAATATAGGAAATGGCACATCAGTTAGATGACGTGACTTGTTTTGAAGTTTAAGGAGTGGAACTATATGGAAAGAAAGTGTAAGAGAAGGACAGGCTATGGAAAAAGTATGAGGTTTTGCTGATGGTGTTTTGAGTGAAGAAGGCCAAAGTAAGCAGCAACCAGATTTTACTGGGCAAAGATATTTTCAGAAAAAAAGCAATGGCAAAATGGCCTGAACAGTCTGAGGCTTACGTGGTAGTGGTGGCTTTTCTCAAGGCAACGCAGGAAGACACAGGATTGCACAGTTGTAGAACCATTTCCTGACAATAGAACTTCCCTTCAGTGACTTCAGAAGTGTGGGGTGATCCTGCTGTACTGTGCTTCCCCCTTTTTGACAAGCAGATGAAGGGAAATTTCTCTAACTTAATAATACTATCCTGCAGAAGTTTGTTGTTGTTTTTAAGATGTCTTTTGCTCTATGTGAACTGCTGTATGATACATTTAAGAGTGCTCCTTTGCTCAGTTCAATCTCTTGGATGTTCAGAGAATACTCTTAAGTAGGATAATGGCATCCTACATACTTTTTGCTTCCAGTTGGTGCCTTTTCTTCTCAGTTGGTGCCACTTGTACAGCAAGCTGTCTGGGGCATTGCAACTCTCTTAGAATCATAGAACAACCCTGGTTGGAAGGACCTCTGAGGATCACTGGGTCAGACACATTGTGGAAAGGGGACCCTAGATGAGA